AGCTAAAGATAAATTCAATTCAAAAGAATTATCTTCTATAACCATAATATTTACAGCACGGCTAAACGCATCAACATGTTTCATTTTTTCACCGGGTCTATGCTCGAATTGTTTATCATAGTTTTCTAATTCTAGAGCCCATCTCGCAATTCTAGGATTTAGGTCCTTTTTATCCAACGTTAATTTTAGTGAATTACAGTCAGTCACGATTTTAAATTTGATGCCTTGCAGGTAAACTCTGAAGCGTTTCAATGCATATATTATCGCTAAAGTCTCTAACTCGAAACTGTGATACTTGCTTTCTTGTTCCGTCGTTCTTTTTGAAAAATAAAGCACTGGATGGAATTTTTTATCTGATTTCCGTTGGAGTAAAACAGCACCGAATCCTAACTTGCTAGCGTCACAGTGAAGCTCGGTTTCATCGTTTGGGCTATAGATACTTAATACCGGAGCTTTTACCAGATTTGATTTCATAGTTTCAAAGGTTTGTAATTCAACTTCGCCAAATTGAAATTTTGTGTCCTTACGCAATAGATCATACAATGGTTTGGCCATAACAGAAAATCCTTCGACGAACTTCCTAAAATATGAGCATAAGCCAAGAAAACTTTGGACTTGATGCACATTTTGCGGTATTGGGAAATTAATTACAGCTTCGATTCCGTGTTCGGTTGGTCTTATGCCCTGCTCCGAAATACAATATCCTAAATACTCGATTTCGGTCTGTAAAAATTGACATTTATCAATCTTAAGTTCTAGTTTATTGTCAACCAGAAGTTTGAACACTCGCTTTAATACATCCAAGTGGTGTTCCAATGTGACTGTCGCAATCAGGAAATCGTCTATGTATGCCACTACATCTCCCGAATTTATAACATCTGCCAATACATTATTTACAAACCTCTGAAACTTTGAAGGTGCAGTTTTAAGCCCAAATGGCATCTTAACGTACTCAAATTGTCCTAACGGCGTTACGAACGAGGTGTACTTGATTGAATCATCTGCTACCTTAATATGGTGGAAACCATCTTTGAGATCAAGCAGACTGAAATATTTTTTCCCCCGTAATAAATCGATCTGATCTTCGATTAACGGTAATGGGTAGTTATCTCTCGCTAGGACCTTATTAAGTGCCCGAAAATCAACACATAATCTTAAACTACCATCCTTTTTCTTTACTAAAACTATTGGTGATGCATATGGGGAGTCACTTGGACGTATAGTCCCCTTTTTCAATAACTCGTCTAAGATCGTTTTTAATTGTTCTTTCTCTATAAACGATAATCTACGCGGATTAAAATGAAATGGGTTATTATCAGTAAGTATCAAAGATAATTCCACTTGTACTTTTGGTTCATCCGGACGACATGAGTTCACATACTCTGTCATGAAGAGGTTTAACAGTATAGTTCTTACCTCGGGATTTATCTGAGGGTTTATCCTTAACGGTTTTTCAACTTCCTGGTCCTTATCAATTGTTATATTGAGAATGTCATTCACTTCTGCTACCTCGATAGGCGGAGCTAAAAACCTTAGATTAAACTCATTTAGTGCATTACGACCTAAAATTACTGATTTTTGCATAGTATTATCTGGGACTACATGTAAAACTATATTATTCCGACTATTGCCATCAAGACAAACAGTTGCTTCTACCGTACCTTTTATAACTAAAACGCTATCATTAATACCAATATATTTTCTGTTGTGAGTGTCTATAATGTTAATGGCTACTTCAGGTATGAAACGCTCTTTAATTAGGCTGATCGGGCTTCCTGTATCCAACAGAGTTTCCAGTTGTAGATCATATCGTCCTTCTCCAGCGGTGATCCGGTAATCTGCCTTCCTGATGAAGTCGTGATTCGTTGGTAACTCGACAATATTGTTGACTTGTTCATTGCCTTGTTCTTTGCCCTTGGGGCAATCCTTTGATTGGTGTCCCATCTCGAAGCACTTGAAGCAGGCCCCTTTTTCTCGTTTTGGCTGCTTACAATCCGCTGCAAAGTGGCCAACCTTACTGCAGTTGTAACA